GTCCAAAAATATTAGTAAACATGAACAACTCTCTCCCAAATCCAAACACTAGAGTGCTAAAACTCATGTGTGATCTGAGCTAGAGCGCAGGCTGGTCTGAATGTTACCACATAGACGAACTGACGAAGACTGCAGACCTGAGAACACAACAATAGAGTAAAGCTCATTTGGGTGTAACAAAGAAAGCAAACATTCATTGTGTTCACAAAATTAGGCTCCTATCCATTGTCTGTGGGGCAGCCCCAGACTTTATACTTGATGACATCACAGGTTTGAGACTTACTTCTCTGGTTTCCGGCTTTGAGAGAGAGTATCTTATGTTCACAAATATTGATTATATTTTCCTAGGCCACGGAAATAACATATTGGAACTCCAAATTTAGTTGGTGCTCATGAGCTTTAGAGGTGTTGGTGAATATTGTTGCCTTTGGAGGGAGCCAGGCTAGCTGATTCCCAGTTTTCAGACTTAATGCTAAGCTAAGCTAATGTTTCAGTCTTCTCATCTAACCCTCAAGAAGAAAGCAACTGTCAAACTATTTATTTCTGTAAATAAACAGTTCCAGTCCAAGTTTGGCCATTTTTTTCTGAAAAACCTCTACATGATAGCATCCCTGTGTTGTACTCTTGATAAAACATCTTAGAAACGTTGTTCTTGCTCTGCAGCTGAAGGGCAAAGATGGTGACAAGCCCATTGGTCGCATCAGCAAGCAGTGGAGCGGCCTCTTGAAGGAAGTCTTCACAGACACCGACAACTTCGGCATCCAGTTCCCGCTGGACATGGATGTGAAAATGAAAGCTGTGCTCATGGGAGCCTGTTTCCTCATTGTGAGACCATGTTCTTAGTTTTTCCTCTTTGAATTTTTTGTTCCCCTTCTGCCTAATCACACGATGAGTTAATTTCCTTCTTTGTGTCCACTCTGCAGGATTTCATGTTCTTCGAGAAGGTCGGGGAGGCCAACCAGCGCAGCACTGTGTTTTCATAACAGAGGAAGCAAGGAGGGGAAAAACAACAGCATGAGAGCTAGTGCCAGTTATGTATTCTCTGTTCATGTACTTTATATTTCCATTTGTTTTTTTTAATCCTTCCTTTGCCAAATTCCAGCCAAAGTGATGCCAATCCCTGGATCCTTTTATACACACAGACTAAAATGAGCAAACAAAAACCAGCCACGGATTATTTTTGAAATCTGTCCAAGCTCAGAGACTGATACCGGCTGCTACTCTGCCAGCCTTCTTTACACTCCACACCGTACCTCAGACTGAGATTTAATCCCTGCTAAAGAATGTCACCCTTACCCTTTGTGTCTTTCTCAGTACCCACACACAGAAATAAGAGCGGATATCAACATGTGTTTGAATGCTTTATGCTACACTGGCAATAACATTTCATATTTATATATTTTTATCTGCTATTATATCACATTATGAGGAAATCACAGTTGGTTTAGCACAAGTGCAATACTCTCTTTTAGCCATGCATGCTAGCAGTTAGCAGATGCTTTGTGTTTAGTGCTATTTAGCAACTGTTAGCATGCAAACAAGCTAAACTAACATGATAAGCATTATTCCTTCTGATCACCTGCATGCTAGCATTGTCATTGTGAGCATTTGGACATTAGCACTTAGCTGACAACACTGATGTGCCTTCTTTTATGCGAGGTTATGTGCATGGTTATTTAAAGCTGGGAGCAGTTAATTAAATAAACCAGGTATAACGTGTTAACGAGTGAGCTTAGAGGTGCTGGTAGATTGTGTAAATTAAAAAAAAGAGCCTGGCTAGCTGTTTATATGCTATGCTAAGCTAAGATAAGCTAACCGCCTGCTGGCTGCAGCTTTGTGTTTATCCTACAGGCAGAGTGGTTTCAGTACTTTGTGTTTAGTGCTGTTCAGCAAATGTTAGCATACAAACAGATAAACAAAGATGGTAAACAGTAAAACCTGCTGAACATATATGCGTGTAAGTCATTGTTAGCATACTGACATTAGCACTTAGCTCAACGCACTGTTGTGTCTGAGCGTGGCTGTTGTGACTTTCAACCTTGCAAATTGAAAGCTTCATATAAAACCACAGTGAACAAGCTGTCGTCGTTAAGCTTATATGAGGAAGTGTTGGTTGTGTCAGTGAGAGAAGTGGGAGCTACCTCTCAGCTGCCTTTCTTCTCCTCGAAGCCCTCTGTCTTAAACTCCAGTGTACATAACCTAACAAACCTGTAGCATAGGCTACAGTGTAAATGCTCTCATGCTCCCTCTGTGGTCTTACAGTTGCCGTGGAGACTGACGCCACCGCCAAACCTCGCCCTCCCATTTCTCCAGATACCACTGCCTTGAACATGTGCCAGTGTAATGACAGAGGAGGGAGAACATGTAGGTTAAAAGTAAGAATAATATGAGTAAAGGAGGAATTGAAAGAACATAAAAAGCAGAAGTTGAGGTCGGTGAACATTAAAGTGAACGTTTATCTGACCTCGCAGTGGTCGGAAAAGCTGACCAGTGGCGGGTTCAAGGAAACAATTTGAGTTTCTGTAGTTTGTAACCGAAAGAAACCTGAATGTGAAGTGTTGTCCGTTTGTATCTTATTTAATTGCTGTGCTGTCAATTGTTCACTGTTCACAAATGTTGCCTGTTGTTGAACGCAACTCTCTGCACTGTATTTGATTATCATTCTCATTCTCACTGTTCACATGACTTAACATGGGTGTGCCTCCTGTGAGGCTTGGTTGCCACTAGTGCTCTCAAATGCAACTCTCTCTTACACTGTCAGTAACTAATATCTATGTGTCTATCAGCTTCTGTGCACCTCTGATAAGAGACAGTAGCCAAAGCATGTACAGTACATTTATTGCAATTGTATGTTCATTGTGTCAGTTTAATGTTCTTAACTTGCTTTTTTTTTTTACAATCAGTAGTATCTGCAGCAAGCAGGATCTGTGTAATCAGTTTCCTGTGTTTCTATCAAACTATTTTGTACCCACTGTTGTTTGCCTTGTGATTGTGAATCAAGTTTTTTACAGAAACAAATACCCTGTTGTTCAGAAATAAAACAAATGCCACACGAAGCCATTGTTACAGTGTTGATGTCTTGTGTTTTTAAGCTCCACCGATTGTCTAGGAACGTTTCTAGGAAGGCCCTTGGAAACCTTAACGCTAAACGTGGAACATCTGGTTTCACTTGGAAAAAATGATTGTCGCTGCGGAGGGAAATCCCGTCTTATGATCTGGAACACAATCAGCCAAAGTCCACTTCCACTAAAACCCATCTCCGCTTTAGTTACTATGTAACTTTATCAGTACAACATGCACTTTATTGGTGTCAGTATCACCTTCTTTTATCTATCTTAACATCATATCCATGCCCTACTCCATATGCTACAGAAGGAGACAAACCCTCTCCTCCCTGGTCCTATACTGAATATCCTACTGCTCCACCCTCTGGGAAAATGTGGGAAATACAAGCATAGTATTCCTGAGAGCATGTCTGAACATGTCCACCCATGCCTCAATGCTCAAAATGTAATTAACCTCCCATAATATACAATTCTATGATTCCTACTATACAGGAACCATCAATTCAGTGGCTCAACAACAGGTTGTAAAAGCTGACCTGATACTCTGCATGCTAACTGCTCTGTAAATATTTGCACTGGCATATTTATCCACACGGTGTCTGTTTGTTTTCTTAAGTTACAACCCATAAAAGACACAACAGGAAAATATGTTGTATAAAGTAAACATGGAAATGTCTTAGTTGATATCCCAGCAGAGTTTATCACCTTTCTCTCATAACAGAAAATACATTTAAGGCTCTCACAGCTTTGATCTCGCTATCTGGTCAATGTAAGGCTTTGTATTTTAATAATGTCATACGATTTAGGACACTAAACTCTTTCTGAAGACCAGCAGGCTCTTTAACGCAACACAGTGTCTCTATTACATTTAAAGGTCCAGTGTGTAGGATTCGGGGATATATTGGAAATGAGAATCATTGTATTTTTGTTCACAATGGGCCATCTATAAAGGGAGCGGGTCCTCATCCATGCAGTCTGCCATGTTGCACTGTCATGTTTCTACAGAAGCCCAAAATGCACGTTTTCACATCAGCAAATGTAGTCAGCAGTCCCTCCGCAACAAGCATTGAGAAAACACCATTTTATTTTACGTTACACCGCTTTATTCAGTGCTTTTACCAGTTTAAATCACCCGAGGTCTCATTTATCAACCTTGTGTACGCACAAAACGAGGTCTGAAAGAAGCATACGCCACTTCCCACGCAAAAGTTGTGATCTATAAAAACAGACTTGATGAAAGAAACTTTGACCCGTGCTGACGAATATTTTGGAAACAGAAATTAGTGAAGCAGAAGGTGTAGTAAAAGCCTGATTGTAGATATTGTCTTATATTCTAGGGTGCCATTTTTGGCTTAAGTCCATATGAACATTTTTAGAATAGATCATTGTTTTATAAATAAGACCCCTGATCTGTTTTTTTGGAGAGGAAGACACCTCTTCAGGTAATTCTGCTCCCAGTGAAGGAATATTTCCCACATCTATATTCAAACAGGTGTGTAGGAGAGGGACAAGAACTAAACTTGCAGAAAAGACTGTCCAACTTGCTAAAATAATGATTTTAATGCTACTGCAACGTTTCGGTGATTTGACCTTTTTCAGGCAGGGTTTCATCAAGGTTGGCCTGATGAAGGTCGAGTCACCGAAATTTTGCATAAGCATTAACATCATTTTTAGAGTGCTTTAGAGTGCAGGAGTCTTTTTTTTTTTTTTTTTTACAAATTCTGCTCCCAGGAAAAACCTCCTGAACAATGATTGCTGAAGAAATACCATCTGGAAGAAGTTTCAACTGGTTGCAGTTTGCAATCCTCACCACTAGATGCCACTAAATCCCCCTAAATCCAACATACTGGCCCTTTAAGAGTACAGTACAGTAATCATACACTTCTATAATGAACTAACTGAATAAACTGGTCATATTATCACAGCAACTCAGCATTAAGCCCAGATCATTTTATTCAATAATACAATTTCTAAAACAATATGTACAAATTCATTTAGATACAAAAACTATTTGCAAAAGCACACATAATGTGCCGGACAGTTTCTCAATAAAAATACAAAAACAGCAGTCAGAAATGTTTTGCTAGATTCCTGGTTCAGAATATTCCTTTTTACATTAATACACCTTCACTTTTCTGCCGTTATCGTACCCACTGGACTCCCTTCTGTTCCCACATCAAGCTGGCCAATGAAAAAAGTCATACTGGGCAGCATCCAGTGCCACAATTGTTGCTTGATGCACGAACAAAGGTAAAATCAGCGACAAAAATCCCTTCAGACTCGTCTTTCTGTGCTCGCTGGTCGCTCCCGGTCGCCGGTGACGGCCCTCTCGTCCCGCGACCATCGGATCAGGTAGCGACTGGCCACCTGCAGGTTCCACTGGTATCTGGAGAGGATCCTCAGACAGTCCTCTCGGGAGCAGAGGCTCAGCGAGTACAGCTGCTCCAACTGATGGGACGCAAAACAACAATCAGTCAAAATACGGATTTTAAGATACATGGAAAAACAAAAAAGAAACTCTTCAAGCAGGTGTTCATCAGCATTCAAATGCTAAACACCTGTTCTGAAATCACTGATGAAGGTACAGTATGTCCTGTAGTGCAACATGCTTTAGTGTTGAATCACAAGCTGCAGTTGTATGAAATGTGACTTGGTGCTAAATCTCCTTTTACCCAGTACATAACAATTCAAATATGACACATTCATTACTCAAAGCTCCACCATGAACAGATGTTAGATAAATGTACACTGTGCTGATGATGCCTCTCTTTCATAGTCATTTCTTGGTCTGACCTTGAGTTGCTGTTCAGCTCGCACTGGGTTCCACTCACTACGCTGCAGTGCAGTATGAACCTCTTCAGTGGTCACTCCATGAACCGCCTCCATAACCTGAGAAGAAGCCTGTATTTTAATCCTTTGAACAAGTTTTCATAAAGCAAAAGCAAAAAAACATATGAATCAGTCTCGTACCTGTGCGATGAGACTGTCTCTCGTGTTGTGCACTTGGGGTGACTTATCCCGACCTCTGGCTCGCTCCCTCTCTCTGTTGTCCGTGTAGTCGTCCAGCTGCGGGGTTGAGCGAGCCATGTGAGCCATTTTAGCCAAGTTGGAGCCTCCGGCGGCCTGCGGAGGTGGGTGCTGGGGTGGAGGTTGAGGTTGAGGGTGAGGCTGTGCCTGCGATGGAGGGGAAGGGACGACATGTGGAGGCCACGGAGTGCCCGGGACAGGGTGGATTGTGGGCCTCCTCTGGGGTTTCATCAAGCGTTTCAGGTTGGGGGGCGGTGGCCGTGGAGGAGGGGCGATACTGGCCTCGCTGAAGCGGCGTGTGTCCTGCTGCATCACCACACTGCGAGCTGCCATCACAGTGGGCACGGGTCTGCCCTGCTGATCCACTCTGACCGCCCCTACTGTGTGAGCCCGGGGCCGATGTCCACTCAAAACAGACTCCAGGCTCCGAGACATACCTGAAGACACAGAAAGAGGCCTCTGAATGCACCATTAAGTATTATTACAGCGGTCTGCCATGTGAAATTAGTGAGGAAATCATGGACAAGGTGACAGCATTTAAAAGAGGCAGTAAGTGATCTTAGTTCAGAGTGTGTGTGTGGGCTCTAGAGGGCAGACTGGTGAGAATGAATGACTAGATAAACTGAGTCACTTCCTGAATGGATAAGATGATTTCTGTCTAATATTAGCATAAAAAACTGCAAGCATTGACGAACATTTTATAAAAGAACATGTGAAGAAATAAATGGACAAATGGCTTTATCAGTTGGGTCATTTCTAGGGTCTGCAGAGTGACCCTCTACACTGCATGATGAAGTTGGAGCAGTGAAGTTAATGTATCAGACGTTTGAAATATAGCAGGTAAAAAGGCTGGCGGCCATTTTTGTACCAGCATGTCCTCTAAAACTGAAATATGGCTACATCTGGTTTAAACAGCTATTTTGAAAATGTCATAAATGGATTCAGCATCCCCAGTAATCCCCAACACCACTCTAACACTGTCCAAATCGGCTGAGCAGTTGCTGAAATCTGGAAGGCTAGTGACCGATGATTCGGTTTTCTCTGATTTGAGGTATAGTGACAAATTTAGGCCAAAGCAGGTGTAATTTTCAAGACAGAAACATCAACTTGGGCTCAAATTGAAGCTCATCAACTTGGGAAGTTTTCTATGTACAAGTAAAGCAGTGATATTAAACACAAAGTGATGAAAAATAATAATTTTTGATGAGAATTTGTCAAACGGACAGTCTTTTTTTTTGTTTTTTGGGGGTGTTGTGTGTGATATTTTGAAATAAAGCAACCACTTTGTGGAAGCTAATGAGGGTGTAGACAAAAAAGAAAGGATTTAGTAGTGAGAATGTGATGGGCTCATTAAAGATATGTAGAGATATGCTGAGTACAATATCATGATATTTAAAATCCAAGATAATATCTAGTCATATGATGTTAATCCTAATATCATATCCATCTTGTAGCGCTATTCACTGCACTCTGCGGCTGCTTCTATTTTTAGTCCCTACCTGCCATTTTCTGCAGGTTGGAGCCCTCCTTGTCCCGGGCAGGGTGCGTCCTCCAGCCGCCTCCACTGCACAGGTCAGAACAGTGCACACATTAGTATGACAGCCTCGGCTCACAAACTGTATTGACTGACAGCAGGTCAAAGTTCAGCGCTGCACTGTTGTTAGCATTCTGCAATAAATCTCAGTGACACAGGCACCTGAGAGAGGTTTATACAGTCCTCTTCTACATGATACAGGCAGAATAAAAGAAATAAGGGTAATAGTAATTTATAAAATCATAACTAACAATTCTTTCTTTCTTTTGTAGCGTTCTGTAATGTCAATAAATGAAGACAAAAGCTCCAAAGGCCACAAGGCAATCAAAAATCGTCCATCCTGAAACACTATATTATTGTTAATGGTGTATTTTTAGCTGCAGGTAATTCAAGTCTCTTTTTGTTTGCAAAAATAAACACAAGCAAAGACGACGAAAATGAAACAAAACAGCCTCAGTAACACAGAGAGGGAATGAATGAGTGGTGTCACTGACTCGTCCATGTTCTCAGGTGTTCCCCAGCAGCGCTCAGGTTTGATGTCTCCGTGCGCAGTGTGGTGCAGGCTGCCCTTCAGCGGGGGTGAGATGTAAGCAGTGGTAGAGGCGGGGTTGGCAGCGGCAGCAGGGGCAAGTGTCGGCATGATGAGGGTCGCTGGAAACCAGCCGACTGTCAGCGTCCTCTGGTTCTGGCCCCTCCATTCACTCAGCTCCAGTCTGCGCAGAGAGAGAGACTCTTTGTTTATAGTGACACTACCAGGGTGTGACGTCTGGTGAACAGCAGCATAATGGTCAGCGCTAAAACAGTGTCACAGTGACACACTTAGGGATGAGTCTTCAGTCAGTGAGTTAGCCACCATAAGATGATAGACCTACCACACCAAGTAAAGCCGTTTGTTTTCAACTGGTTTGCTTATGGACTAAACTTTTCATTTTTAAGAGGATTAATGTGTTGTTTCCTCTTTTTAAAGTTACACATTCCAGTTTTACCTTACAGAAGCTGTGCACTTACTGACAGGATACAGATAATAGTGCTTCTTTGACTTTATTTCTCTAATCTTTACAGTTTTACTGTCTGTAAAGAACAAAGAAAGGGAAATATGAAACTCTAATTAACATCTGAACCAGCTACATTAAGCTTAGATTACATCAAATATTGTTCCCAAAGGTCAAGAATTAACTTCATGTTCATATATATAGAATGCAGTTTTCTTCATTGAATGCTGAACGCTTGGGATGAAAATCCTCTTTTGACTCTGTGTGTGTGTCTGTTCCACGTTTTTCTCCTCACTGACTTGGTCAATCCATGTGAAATTTGGCACAGTGGTAGAGGGTCATGGGAGGATGCGAATGAAGCAATATTACATCAATTGGCCAAAGGGGGGCGCTATAGCAACCGATTGAAATTGCAAACTTTGAATGGGCATATCTCATGCCCCGTATGTCGTAGAGACATGAAACTGTGCACAGAGATGCCTCTCCTCATGAGGAACAAATTTGCCCCAAGAACCCATAACTTCCGGTTATATAGATTTTCTGCCATTTTGAATTTTTTGAAAAACCCTTAAAATCTATCTCTTCCTAGGAAGTTTGACCGATCTGCATGAAACTCAGTGAAAGAAACGAGAGAAATTTAACTCTAATTGGCAACTGGGTGGCGCTATAACAACAGAAAAATGCTTAAAAATGGCTAAAATACGACCGATCGCTGTGGCTCCCCCTGTGGCAGAATGTTGTTTTTTCTTCTAATTTTTGGCATGACTAAGTCATGGTATGGTATGCTGTACATAATCATGGAAACTGTCAGTGTGTCATTCTGTCAGTCAGTCATTCTGTCTGTCCCACGTTTTTCTACTCACTGACGTGGTCAATCTATGTGAAACTGCACATAGGCATTGAGGATTGGCATAGGTAGAAGGTGACAAAGCTACCAATGGGTATGGACTAGTTATTAGTATTTATTTAGCATTAACAGACTTTAAAGGAAACGTTGGTCATTTTCAACCTGGACTCTGTTTTCCCATGGTTTTCTGTCAAAGTGACTCATAGAAACAACAGGTTTTTTTAAACTGGTCCACTATTGAGAGGGATGGCTGCAGCCGGCAGCTGTGAAACAGGCTGCAATGTAATCCCTAGGGGCAGTTGTGCACCGTCAATTTACGTCCAATAACAGTGTTTGTTTTTGCCACTGACAGGCTCAGATTGTTATTGTAAGTGGTGGACAACGTTGTGGAAAGGACCCTGCAGAGAAATGAAATTTTTTTCCACACCTTTCACTGATCCAGTCTGTTTGTTATTATGTGTAACCATGTTTCACTCAAGGAGAAGTCTCGTTCTGACATATCATGGATTTTTCTGCATTTTAAAAATTAGTCGTGACCTTGGGAATCTTTTAAATAACATTGAGCTACACTTTCTGTACTCCTCTCCCAAACTCTCACTAACATTTCCGTTGTTGTTGTTTTTTGCAACAAGTCACCTCATGAGATTTCAAAATAAACATTTCCTTGAATGAGTCACGATAACAAATGGCAAAAGCTAAGAAAACATTTCATTTCGGCATCAGGTCCTTTCTGTAAGGTTGTCGGACACTTCTAAAGACAATCTGAGCCTGTCAGTGTCAAAGACAAGAACTTTCAATGGACATAAATTGCACATTAACCTGTATGGATTTCATTTGCAGCCTGTTTTTGTCGTCTCCATTAGTCACTTAGACATTATTCTTACACTGGTTTATTCTGTCAGTCTTACTGGCATTAAATTTTTTCAAGAGAGCACTTAACACTTTGTGAATTTAATTTTTTCAGTTAGGAGTTTTAATGCATGACTTTATTTATTTAATGGCCCGTAGATGCAAATTCACAGTGACGCAAAAACCTGTTTTAATGTTTGTTTGTTTTTGGATTTAGGTGTGTTTTTTGTTGCTTGTGGTTTTGTGCACGTGTCTACATGAAAAAAAAAAAACTGAAAACAGTGACACAACAGATATTATCTTGACTGTGGGTCTCTTATGTAAGGATACACTGTGTGTGTCATAGCTGCTAGACTGGTTCAAACAAACAAACGAAGCAAGCCATGTTCAAGGACTCCATGAGATCACAGCTGGAATGCACTTTTCAGAGGCCGACTTAAGCCCCTGTTTCATCTTAACAAAGACCCACTGTGTTACTCTTTTAGCCCCACCCTCCTTTCTCTCACCCACCCATGGTCTACGAGGGTCACGAGGTCGTTGGCTGCAAGTGCAAGTTTCCTGGGTTCAACGAAGTCTCTTGTTGCTTGGCCTTCCATTGGTTTAGCCTGCAAAGGAAAAACATGACAAAGATTTACTGAAATCAGTTCATTTCCACAACATTTACAGGACCAGATTTGTCTGATAAAGCTTGATCAACAGTGCCTCCTCTGATTTCATGATTAAAAGCTTCACAAAATGTTGCAAACCTCTGCCACCATTGTGCAGATCTGGGCAAAGTTGGGTCTGTCAGCAGGATTGCAGGCCCAGCACTTCCTCATGACGGCGTACATTTCTTGAGGGCAATCTGGCGGTTTCTCCAGGCGCTCCCCCTCCCGCTCCACACGCCACAAGATCTGGATTGAAGAGAGTGAACATCAGTGACACAGTATGAGTCACGGAGCATATCGTAAAGGCAAACTGTGTCAGGGCGGGGACACACATTCCATACGTGAGGACAAACATGCTGATTGGCATGGATACAAACACTGAAAGCGTAAGCGTGAAATGTTCACATGTAGCCAACAAGCATGTACCTGTCTGCCTGACAGGCCGAACCAGGGCTCCTCACAGTAGGTGAACATCTCCCACAGGGTGACGCCAAACATCCACACGTCTGAGGAGTGGGAGAAGGAGCCCACACGCAGGCTCTCTGGAGCACACCTGGAGGAAAAACAGGAAGATGGACAACACAGAAAGTGAGAATTTTACTATTAATAACACTCTCCTCCAACTCAATGTCCCAGCAGCCCTTACCATGCAAACGGGATCCTTCTGTGTGCTGACATCACATAGTGGTCCGCGTCTTGGCTCAGGCCTCTCATCAGGCCAAAGTCCCCGATCTTCACCATCTCCCTGGCCGCCAGCAGGACGTTTCTTGCAGCCAGGTCCCTGTGGATGAATCTCCTGGACTCAAGGTAGTCCATACCTGCTGCTATCTGGGTAGCAAAGAGCCAAAGGCGGACCAGAGGGTACTCATACTGACGTGAGCGCAGGATGTCATACAGTGAGCCCAAGGGGGCCAGCTCTGTCACCTAGAGCAAGGAAAAATATGTCACTGCTCCTAAACACACCCTACTTCAAACAGATCCATATACTAGCTCAGTGTTTGAACATCTTACCATCTTGAGGGGCTGCGTGAGCACCACGCCATAAAGTCGGATGATGTTCGGGTGGTCCAGTGACTGCATGGTGGTCACCTCTTGGAGGAAGTCGGTCAGTGTGTCCGTCTGCTTGGACATACTGCTCCTTAGTGACTTCACTGCTACAGGCAACTGAGAGGAAAGGAAAGAAAGAGACACTGGCTCAAGACAGCTGGATTGCTTTCTCAGAGTCTAGCAGCTACACAGGACACACTGCATTTAGTTTTCAACTGTTACTTTGGTTATTCCACCATCCACCTTTCCCACTACTGGGGACAGTAACTGCCTTACGTGGATCTTTGCTAACTGGGGATAGCTACCTAAAGCTACCAAGTTGTGAATTTGCGTTTCCATAGACAGAGAAGGCATGACTTGCCTTACTCTACTTCTGATGGGCTTACCCTGACATTCTTACCCTAACCCAAACCAATCTCACTCTTCTTGCTTAAACCTGACCAATCCAACCAAACAAGGCGATACTTACTAGCCAATCAGAGGGAGAGTCCGGTGGGTAATTTCCTAGGAAACGCAAATTCGCAACAGAGAAAAAACCTCTTCCTCCCAAACAAGACAGTGTTTGGGAATGACCCTCTGTCATTCTTCACTATCCCCTTTCAGAAATGTGAGTGGTGGCTTATGGAGGAAACTTACACATGACTTTGAAGTCCAATATTCACTCTCCTTTTAGCTCTGTTTTGGTCTCAACCAACTCCAGAGAAAAATATTTGGCTTTTGGTCACTAACTGTGTCTGTCTGCTGTTTGGCACTGAGGGCATAGTGTACAGTGGAGGTTGGTTTTTGTGGCTAACAGCTGCCTGTTGCAGCTGAAAAAGAACGCTGCTGAGCTGTGAAAGTGACAACAGTAAAGTTGTGGGCTGTACGACCAAAACAATGAGCTGAAAGAGGCTAAAATGCTCTGTAGAGCCGAGGGGAACTGAAAAGTCTGGTGATAATTTTCTGTGGATTGGTCACTACAAGTCTAATGTGCAGTAACATAAAACAAAAGCAGCTCACTTTGTCCCTAGACAAATGCTTTTGACTTTTACTTAAATGAGTATGCATGCAGCGATCAAAAACAGCATGTACAATGTAATTTACAGTACATGCTGATTGTTTTGGGGATGTTATGCTGTCTAACTGTGTGTATACAGGGGATACGGCATCTATCAGACAATAATACAAAAAAAAAACAACCCAAAAAAAACAAACAAAAAAAAACCTGTCCCTTACCACTCTCCCAGTGGGTGTGTGCCACTCTCCCCTCTTCACCACCCCAAAGGACCCAGAGCCCAGCTTCTCTCCCAGAACCAGCTCACTGTCCTGGATCAGACTAGGAAGAGCGCGGCTAACACCCTCCTGACCCTGAGGCGGGCCACCTCCGCTCCACTGGTCCCCTCCATCTGGACCTCGCCCGCTTAACACCTAAATGCATTAATAAATGAAGAAAAGAAAATTTATTACTCACTGTCATGCCTGTTTACATGTAGTTCTCATACAATACATATGACAGAGTTAACTTGATGTGTCAGACCTTGGGCATCCATGACCGTCCTCGTGAAGTTGTCTTGTAGCGTTTCAGAGCTTCCCATAATCTTCTTTGTGCTGGAGGAAAAAAATACATGTAATTATCCAACATGAAATATCGGTCAGATTTTTATGACAGCCTTTACATCTACAGTAAATGGTACTGTTTTATAAAAATATATTGACCAATGATTTCCCTACTATCACTCCAATGTATCCTTCAGCACATTTCATAAGTCATTATTTCATTAAAAATGTACTAAAGGGGTCTTCATAAATAAAAGTGGTTTCATGGTTTGTGGTATTCCTGCATCAAACCCTAACTAATAATGGAAATGATTTTTGGTTGCTGTTTTACTTCATATTGACATTTGAAAGTAGGCAGTACAGGAACTGAAATCTTGTGAATGAAGTTAGCAGCGGCTCACACTAATTTAGTTTACCAGATTAACTTGTAATCATGCAGAACACAATAACCTGAGCAACAGCCCTGTTTATATCTCAGTACACAGTATTACTTGTTCTCCTCTGTGGTGTTCACTCTCTTTTAATACTAAACAAGCTCAGTAACAGTGTTTGATTTCAGTTCAAACCTGATTCCTTTTGAGTTTACAGAGTATGATTTCAATTTTGTTTCATATTTATTCTCATTGATATCTATCCAAGATCTTCCTCGTACGTCAGTGTTTTAGTTCATTTTAGGGGCTGCACAGTCAGTCAAAATACTAACAAAATCTCAGTATGGCAAAGTGCAATATCCAAAATGCAAGAGCTGCACTTCTTTGATACAAGTAAAATGTGTCACAACCATATTAAATGAAGCATTGTGGTGCTACAGGGATTCCCTGGCCTACAAATCATATTTCACATGTAAGGGAACATCCATGTTTGGTGGAAACCTCAGCAAAAATCCCATTGCCATTTTTATTTTTCATTTTTTTCACTGAAACTAAAATGCATAAATATCAATTCCCACAAAAATAATGACACCTTTTTTTGCATATTATGCTTCCCTAGTTCATTTTGTAAAAAGAAATAAAATCAGTTCAATGAAGTAAAAATAAAACACCAGAAATAAGGTTAACGTTTTGCCCTTATCATTTCAAGTGTTGATTTTAAAAAGAAATGTTACTGATGGTGAAAAGATAAATAAAACAGAGCTGCAATGATTGGTCGATCAATTGATTTTGAAATGTTGGACATGCTTTTTTGGTTTAATTACAAATGAGTAAAACACCATTAATATGATTGATAATGTATAACAAAACAGCACTGTCTATGTGTTTTTACGATGAGCATGTGCTGACGACGGCCATGAGATGTCCCTGCAAGCTTCAGGTTAAACAAGTAAGTGGACGTTATGATAGGATTGTTTTTTGGACCATTAATCCATCAATACTGTGAATCCAAAGGTTAACTGGGGACATTTAAAAGAGACAGAGAAACAGAAGACAATGCTTTTATATCAGAAGCTTTGATGAGCCAAACATCAGTTACTGATCCACAGATCAAAGCCTCCCTGTCTGAGAACACAGATATGTTTTGACTTATTCCCCGTGTGGATGATCAAAGGCTCACCAGGTTTGCTGATCCCTATCTGCTCTAGGTCGGACTCCTTGACGTAGTTGAAGTGCTCGCTGCGGGTGATGTTGAGGCCATCTCTAACACGCAGGTAGAACTTCTCCAACTGGACCTCAGCCAGGAGTTGGTACAGCCACTGAGTGTCCTGGTCCATCAGCATCACCCGGCCGACCTGCCTTCAGGGTCAAAGGTTACAGGACAGTTATGAGACCTCTTAAATCTTTTGTTTTTGGTCGCTGAAACTTCACAATAAGAAGAGAAGTTATGCTCTCAATCATGTTTTCCAGTCTGAAGCCCTCAGACAAAACCCAAAGACGCTATTATGCACCTGTATCTGAGTCTTCTTCATCTCATTAAAGAGGCTGTTTAACTGTAACTTTGCTCCCACTTGGGCCTTGTTAGGTTACCATGGGGACCTAATAAAAAGCCCTTGGTGTGTGATGCCGGAGGGGAATCGTTAAGCTTTTAGCTTTGTGCCAACTTTTAAACAAGTTGTTTGTTGTTGTCCTGTGAGAGGAAATCTCAACTCATTTACTCTCGGCTGATCACATCTACTACACCACACCACGCTTTCTATAACCAGGAGAACATGAAAGAAGTGTCATTTGGGTGGCAGTTAGACACACAAATGAGTAGAGGGCAAATGATGAAAGATGTTAGAAGAAGCATATAAATGAAGCTGCACAAAGAGGCACAGGTGGGTGAGGGAGCAGGAAACAAAAACAGGCATGAAAGATCGTCTTATCCTCAGATGCCAGATCAAGTGGGTCCAGTATCAGTGCTGTTTACTGGGTTGTGACTCACTTTGAACCTCAGAGGCAACAATCCTGCAGGGACGGTGTAAAACTGCGAGGTGGAAACATTAACTCGTCTGTGGTTTGGGGGTACCAGTTAAACAGGATTCTGTTCACACAGTATTTATGTAACTGAAGTCGTGCTGTGTGTTGACAGCAGCATTGCAGCTTTTGTAAGGTTAACTGGTGCATCAATTTCACTAAAATCTCCTCTTTAATTTGCATTTCTTTAACATCTTTAAAGGAATACTTCACACCGCAAATGGCATCATTTGTGTATCAATTACTCGCCCCATGTTACACTGAATTCGAAAAGAAAACCTTATTTTTCTCGCATGTCTTCATGGTGAGCGAAGAATCCAAAAACAGAGAAAATTCTTGATTTAGCCTGTATTACAACATAAGTATACAAAATCTGACGCAACTCGTGCAAGTGTCATTTATCCAGTGATTTGTTTAGTACCTCCCAAACAGACAGCCCTTTCTGACTAGATACTGATCGCGAGGTGATGCTTTTCTATGCTCTCTTCAAAGCCAGACTTCATTGACAAAACCAGTAATTTCACCTCACTGAACGCGGGAGCTGCTGGTCTACCGCTGCCTCAATCCGTAGTTTGTCTTCGTTCTTTGCTGAATCCAAACTAACTTTTCAAAACACCAAAGTCACACAATGACACAAACAAACACACTGATCGATGCAGAAGTAGACGAGGAGCTCCCATGTTCAGGAGGTAAAATGACTATTTTTGTTAATTGAGTCTGGCTTTGAAGTTTCACTTCCCGTTCATATGTCTGTTTGAGAAGTACTGAGCATACAACTAGATAAACAAGACTTGGATTATACTGCACAGGTTGTGTAAGAGTTTGTAAATGGATGATTTGATATAGCTTGCCATTGTTAAAAGTGGATATTGCTTCAGTTAATTAGAAATTTTCTCACTTTTTGGATTCTTCGTTTGCTGTGGAGGTATTAAAGAAAAACAAAGTATAAAACAGGGTGACTAATTGATACACAAATAGTAATTTGGAGGGTGAATTCCTATCATATTGACAGCATCCTGAGTCATGGGTGCAGTAATATTAATTATAAGAGTGATTACATTCACATTACTTCCTTATTGCTAAAAACTAAAAAGTTTAAACAGTAAATTCTTCTTTCATTAGCCTCTGCTCCTCATGTAACCAGAGGGCTGTACAGCCATAAATCCCCTGCTTATCAGCCCAGCAGGTATGAGTCAAGGAGGGTCTTCAGCATTCCCCTGTCAGCTACCCTGGGAAAAAATTAACATCTATGCTAAACAACAAGCAGAGCCACTTCTCCTGCAGTCAGCCGGCTCGTTCTCGCAGCCAACCGATGCTTCAAAAACCAGGCAAGTGCAAGAGGGTACTAGCCTGGGCCTGCATTAATTTCCAGGGCCAACTCCCAATTAATCTGCGCCCAACTTGATTGAGCGTGTGGTAAATTCTCCGCAGGTCACACATTCAAATTCAAAAGCCAAAGATGCACGCTGGTAAACAGAGAGAGACCTGTGTGATCATTCTATGTACAGAGTGATCAATCTTTAACCTGGCCAGCTACTGAAAAAAAAAAAAAACTCAGCCAAATGGCATGTGTGTGTAAGTGTCCAACTATTTAGTTAATAGCTTTATGTGGCTGAGGAGTCGCTGGTTAAACTGGCCTGACTTTTATCTTACAAGACATTATCTGCAACTACAAACGACTCGCAGCACTGTTTATCCAGCACAACTGCACCTCTGTTGGAGAGCCTTTGTTTACAGTGGTGATGCATGCTTCGTCTGGGTGAACCCAAGAGGATATCAAGATCAACCTACAGCGTTACAGCTCAGACAGGGCTTTGGAGATGGTGCATAACTGTAGACACAGATATTATAATAGATCACACTTGTGTTTTAATCTGTAATTGTAGAAGTGATGGGTGTGCCTCTCCAAAAATTGCCCAAGATGCTGTGTGTTTTTCAAGCGCAGACAATGAGTACAGCCAAGATCAGTAGTAGAAGTATTCAGATATTTTAAAGTCAAAGCAGCAATTCAATCCAAAAATACTCCCTGCATTCAAAACTTTACTTAAAATGATGTCATTCAAGGGAAAATGGCCCCTTTTACTTATGTTTTTGTTATATTACTGGATTATTATCAGTGATGGATTACTGTGTGAGCAGCATTTTCATGTTGCAGCTGTTGAAGGTGATTTATGATGGTAGTTTCATCCATAATAGTGCATCATAATTTATTACCTGATTACATTTTGTGTATAAAACCTGAGGAGTAACTAATAACTAGTTGTCGAACACATGTAGGAAGTACAAAGTACAATATTTCCCTCTGAAAGTAAATGTAAATACAGGCAATATGGTCATTGTGATATCTGCCTTCAATATTTACTCTAAAACTACCTTCAGACACATAATTTAAGGGCCATTTCAAAATGGGCCTGCATTTGCTTATTTTATAACAACTTTTTGAAACCAGATAATAAAGCTATGTGACATTAGGTATTTCCCCAGACAGCAGTGTCCCCATTAACGCAGCTACAGACAGATATAAGTGATATAATGTCTTATTCTTACCGTTAATCAAAATATGAGAGTTTCCCGGTGCTTGACAGCTATTTCTCAATCACACCCGCCCCGAGACAAGTGATCCATGTTGGCATTGAAACCTCCAGCGGCGTCGACGGAGGGCTTTCCCACAAATCACAACTCTTCTGTGAATCCTAAACCACCTCTTAGTAGTTCACCATCTGACAGATCCAGGCAGGTTATCGCAAAAAGGTGCAGCCTGTGTTTTATGTTACATGTTTCTGTGACTCACTACTAGAAGCGCGTTCCGTCTCTACCTGTGTGACTTCGCCTCTTCTCTCCGCCTCTCTCCAGTTACTCCACTGACCACACCTCTTCCTGTCTTTCTCACCTGAGCTTTCAAAACAGCTCAAAGCTCCAGACAGCAGAACAAGAAATTACCTGCACGCGTAATAATGTAGCGTAATGACATCAATCATCATCACAAACAGATGGCTGATGTGTAATTTACCTTGGGGCAATGTGGTTTGACCAGACAGTGAAGTTAAACACACATTGTATGCATATTTTTTTTAATTACACCATCATAGAATCAAGTGAATTTTAGTTGAAGTCATTAAACTTAGTCAGCTACAACAGTTTTAGCTGCTGCAGCTACTTAGCTAAAAGTTCTTTATTAGATCACTTGCACATACCAGATTTAGCCTGTACTATTAGAGCTAAATGCTAGTTTATTACACTAAATGGAAGCTAGGCTATATACCTAGCTAAAGTTAGCTTATTTGGTAGCCTACACAAACCCACAAACTGCTAGTTCATGGTTTATTACACCAAATGTAGGCTAGGCTACTTAGCTAAAGCTAAGTTAGTTGCTAATGGTAGGCTACCCTAGATTCAGCCCACTAAATGCCAGTTTATTACACCAAATGAAAATTAGGCTATCTAGCTACAACTGTTACTCAGTAGCCTACACTAGATTTAGCCGAGGCTACCTAGCTAAAATTAAATGCTAGTTTAATACACCAGAGTTAAGATAGGCTACCTTTCTAAAACTAGCGTATTGAGTGGCCAAACCCAGATTTAGCTCTCTAAATGCTAGTTTATCACACCAAATGCAAATTAGGCTACCTAGCTAAAACTGTCATTAGGTAGCCTACACCAGACTTAGCCTACTAACTGCTAGTTTATTGCACCAAATGGAAGCTATGCTACCTAGCTAAAAGTAGGTTAATTGGTAGCCTACACTAGATTTAGCCTAGGCTTCCTAGCTAAAACGAAATACTAGTTTAATACACCTGATTTAAGCTAGGCTACCTATCTAAAACTAGCTTATTGGCAACACCTTGCTAAAACATTTTACGTGTAGCCTACTTGAAAAGACAGGCTATTAATTTCACTTCTAATTTTCTAAATACAACCAGACTGCAATAAATCTTCCCTTCATTAGGGCTATAATGTTTTCTTGCTTGAAATTTGTTTTGGTGTTTATTAAACCTAAATATCTATATATTTTGTAATGAGAGCAGAATACTTGCACTATGTCTTCACCGGCTACAACAGTTGAGCCTGCTGTATACCTAGCCAAAACAAGTTTATTGGGTAGCCTACACCAGATTTGGCCTAATTACCTAAAACTAGATGCTAATTTATTACCAAATGTAAGCTAGGCTACCTAGCTCAACTTCCTACCAGAATTAGCTTATCAGACTCAAACTAGCCAGGCCACTTAGCTAAAGCTAGCTTACTGGGTAGCCTACACCAGATTTAGTCTAATCAGCTAAAACTAAATGCTAGTTTATTACACCAAATGTAAGATAGGCTACCTAGCTAAAATTAGCCTAATGGGTATCCAACCAGAATTAGCCATTCAGACAAAAAACTAACTCTGCTACCTAGTTAAAGCTAGTTTATTGGGTAGCCTACACCAGATTTAGCCTAATTAGCGAAAACTAAATGCTGGTTTATTACACCAAATGTAAGCTAGGCTACCTAGCTAAAACTAACTTATTTGGTATCCCATCAGAATTAGCCTATTAGACTAAAAGTAGCTAGGCTACATAGCTAAAGCTAGCTTACTGGGTAGCCTGCACCAGATTTAGCCCACTAAATGCTAGTTCATTGCACCAAATGAAGTCTTTGCTACCTAGGTAAGACTAGGTTCTTGGGTACACAATAACTTACACCTAGCTAAAAGTGTTTTAGGTGTACAATAAGGTAGGCTATAGCTTCAGTTTTCATTTTGTATAATAATAAACTTTATTTATATAGCACCTTTCAAAACATGGTTACAAAGTGCTTCACAAAACTGAATATAACATAAAGCGAATAGAACAAGCCTAAAGAAATGAATATAGAATACATTGAAGGGAGTAAAACATGCATGAATAAAACAGATGAATGATTTTCAAAGGTGATTTAAAAGATGAGACTGAGTTTGCAGCCCTGATCTCCTCTGGCAGGTCATTCCGGAGTTATGGAGCTCTGACTGCAAAACCTCTATCACCTTTGTGAATTAATCTAGACCTCGGAACAACAAGAAAAGACGCATCTTATTATCTCAGGGTGCAAGAAGGAACAAAGGGCAATAAAAGATTGGTGTATAACTTGGCATAATGCCTCTCAGGGCTTTGTAAGTAATCAATAAAATATGAAAATCAATTTTAAAAACAACAGATAACCAGTGTAAGGAAGCCAGGCTTAGTGTGATGTAGTCATAGTTTCTAGTCAGAGTTTTGGATGAGCTGGAGGCAGGGGAGGGATCTTTTACTGATGCTAGAGAGCAAGGAATTGCAATAATTTAATCAGCTGTTTATGAATGCATGCATAACAGTTTCCAGATGTTAGCTGGAAAGCAATGATCTGATTCTGGAAATATTTCTGAGATGGTGGAAGCCAGATTGAACAACTGAATTTACATGGTCTAAACTAAGGGTTTGATCAAAAAAGACACCAAAATTTCTGCAATGTGTCGTTACTGAGTAGGACAGTGACTGATAATCGAAAGCTTGTAGATCTTGTCCTATGATCAATATCTCTGTCTTACAGTAAGCTGCAGTAAATTTTGTAGCAATTTAGCAGACTGACAGTGTTTTGGTAGTTATTTGTTGGATCACAGCTTAAATAGATTTGAGTATCAATTGGGTACAAATAGAAATGGATATTATGTCTGCGTATAAGGTGGCCAAGAGGGAGCATGTCAGTTGAAAAGTGGCCTAGCACCAACCCCTGGGGCACCCCACAGTGTCAAATGCAGCACTTAAATCCAGGAGGAAAAGAATGGATTTATGGCCAGCATCCTGCAAATGATCCCTTCTTAAAGGTTATAATGTCCTTGCCTAACACTGTTTTGATTTTTGATTTAATTTAAAAGTTGAATTTGTGTTTTTTTCAATGGCAGTAAACATTTTACTTGCAACATGTCCACCTCACACATGTAGCCTAAACAGAAAAATGCTCCCACTTTTTATCTAAGTCATTGTTGATAAGTATTGTTTTTGCTTGTATTTCGATAAGTATTGTAGAATCTTTGCCCTTTGTCTTTGTTTATAGAAAGCTCCAAGCTGCTGTAACATCTGTCTGCCTCAGCAAATTGCAATAAAATTCACAGACATCAGCCTCTAAAATGACCATAAAGTTGAATCAACTCATCACTGTAAAACAGTTTTAACAAAAACTGCAAATTATAGCCTCCATAAAAGAAGGATTTATTGCTGCATTAGACCGCATCAGCTGCAGCTAGGAGTAGCCTGGGCCTTGTAATGAAATGGTAATTAGGATGAGAACAAGTTATCCTCCAGCCTAATTTATTCATGATGTGTTGTGTTGTTTCCCTTAACTGATCAGTGGTCATCATCATCTCTTTAACTGCGCCCATGATGAACTAAAATTTCCAATTAGTCATGGCTGAGCTTCAAATCATTTCCATGAATAATGTGATTAATTCTCTCCATTGGCCAGGTTTAATGCTTATGTTTGGACTCAACAGAAACTTGCAGAGCTATGAGTCAAATGGTTTTCTGTTCCTGTCTTTCACTCCTCCATACTGACTGTTGCCAAGCAAGTTGGACAGGATTTTTTTAGCCTCCCATGTGACTGTTAATTTGAATGCAAACCAGGCAGCACTGTGAAGGACCTGCCTGCACTTTGCACTTCCTGGTACAGTATCTCCCCCGTCGTCACTCCTCCTTACCTGTTCTCCTGAATTACTCAATACACACAATGGATTTCGGTAGAACTGTCATTCAAAGGATGTTGCAAACAGGAGACCTCATGCACTTCCAGTGAAAACAGGTTAAAAGATACATGACAGTTGTTTTTTTTAATCAGTAGTTTGCAAGATAATATTTTTTTGTAATGCTGAAACCAAGAGCTTACTAATACAAATAATGACCAGGTGATTAATGAAAGCATCCCAACTTAAGTAATCCATCCTCAACCCACCAGACAGGTATTTAGACAACAACCTGTCATTTCCAGGATTTGATGAGCAGTTGTGTCTACAGGGCTAACAAGGAGTGTGTGGGATGGATGTTATGTTTACACTCCTTCTGCTGTCTTAAATCTCTGAGGCTGAAACTCCTCAGTGTCGCCTTACAGCATGGGAAGCACTCTTTGTTTTGTGCTGCTGGCAAAATGCACTATAAGTTGTTTGAATTAAGCAGAGAGAAATATGACATATATCTGTTTTCTTGCTCATATATGAATGAGAGATATGGTATGAACCAATGCTGTGAATATTTGCAGTCTCACCAACCAGTTGGAAATCTTAACCGTGTGAAACAGATGAAAAAGAAACGAGATACGTGACATTTTGACAGAGGAACAAAGGGTGAACAATTTTTAGGCAAGGTGATTTATCTGTTTGCATTGTTTGCCAAAAAGGTCAAGAGTCAGTTGTCACAGCGTTTGAAAGGAGAGAACATGACAAGACCTAGTGGCTTTAATATTTACATAAAGCTTATATAGAGACCGTTGTAGATTATAGCAGATGAGTTAACCCCTTAAACTTAACTGATTTTAGAGGCATATGCCAGGGATGCTCAACATTCGGGCACGTTCACAAAATGACAGGAGGTCAGGGGCCAGTTAATAAACAAACACTAATATTTATTAGTGAATATAATAAATGAATTGGCTGTTTTCAACCTTTTGAGGCAAATACAGTTGCAGCAGCCCAGCACAGGTCAGCTGCACACAGGGGTGTTTCTAGGATTTGCGGACATTCAGAGTGTAGCCATGTCTTAATTTAATTTAATGTAATTTAATTTAATTCAAGTTAATTTAATTTAATTTAATACCATTTTATTTTATTTTGTTTTATTTTTATTTTATTTTATTTCATTTTAAATAAAAAATGCTCTATATAAATGTATACTTCACTCATAAAACACTATTTGCAAATCAATCATACCTTGAATTTATGAAGAAAACATATTGATTTATTGATTAATAGGGGGCCCATGTTAAACAACAGCAAAACTGTATCAAAGTATCAGTTTACAAACACAATTCATGTGGTATAATACAAGTCTCATTTTGCCAGTTGTATGTTCAAACACATGTATTTTGTTAACAAAAAAAACCTCACTTCATATTGGAGTCTGACTTTTAGTGAGAGAGTACGGATAAGTTACACTTTCAGTTCAGTTTAAAACAGTAAGATTTTAGTGGAAATTAGTTTGTAAATTTATGTTTTGATAAAGCTTTGCGGTCGTTACATGTGGTCCCCAGTCAGTCAATAAATCAATATGCTCACCATTTTCTGTAGAGGCACTGGAGCAAAACAAAAGTGTCTCAACAAATTCAAGGTAACATCATGACAAATGTTTTTACAAATTATCATTTTGTGGGGAAGTATTCCTTTAATGCTTTTTTATGCACTTTGGCATCATATTTAATTTAAAAGGACAAAAAATGATGGTTTAAATTCCAGTGGAGATCCCAAAGTTTCAAAAGACATCAAATATGTCAGACTGAATTTTGGGGAACTCTGTATGAAATAATGCACAGACATCAAGAATAAAAAGATTTTACTGTGTAAACATTATTGAAGCTGATAAAGATGCTGTAATTCTCAAAGATTTTATGTCATGGGAGGGCAAATTTAATAAAATAGGATAAGATAAGATAAGATGAAACTTTATTGATCCACTGAAGGAAAATTTAAAGGAAGACAGGGCGCAGATGAGTGGAAAAAAGTATATTCTAATAACAAATAAAGCTATGTTAGAAAGCTTTATTTACACAGTACAAACTGGCTGTAGACAAATGTGATAAATATATATATAATATATGCAAACCCAACTGTGCACTTTCCAAATATTCCAAATCAAAGTGACAGTAGATATGCATTAACACATGCTTTTATACATTTTGATTTGTGTATGTATTCTATGACAACATGGAATTATGTGAATAATAATTTCTTTAATTTATTTTGTTTTTTTCTAATGTCTGTTTATTGGTCTCTGCAAAAAGTGTAAATACATTAAAGAAACATACCAACAGCAAAAAACAGAAACAAAACAAAATGGAGCATTGGTGGTGAGATGTCAAAGGAAAAAAAAAAAGATCACACATAAGTTATTCCACAAGTTACAGGGTGTTGACATATGATGACACGGTACAGTTAACCTGTTAAACCATCAACCATTTACTTAAATTCTTCAACCAAACTAGTGACTGGTTGCCAGATTTTCTTAAAGAGTCCCTCTCTGTTTGACAGGTTGAATCTAATTTTCTCTGAATGTAAAACATGACCGAATTCCTTCAGCCACATATCAAATGTTTGGAGTTTCTCAGATTTCCAAAATGGAAGCAACATTTGTTTTTTGCTAGCAGTGTGGACAGAGAGAGGACCTGAGCTTCATACCTATCCTTCACTCTACCTGGTTTAACCATCCCAAATAGTGCAGTTAAAGGGTCAGGGGGAAACCCCTTCTTTAAGGCCTTAGCAAAAAAGTTTAAAAAATGATCCCAAAAAGTTTGCAACCTGCCAACAGAGATCCTTGATTTGAACATTTCACACAGAGGGGTGAAGCATCTTTGATTATTTTTGTAGTCTTGTGGGTGAGACGTGCAAACTGTGAACAACTTTGAATCAATTAAAGCATGCCTAGCACTACTGTGAATATTTTCAATACTGTTTTTCTATTTTTGTTAAATTTTGTTAAAACTTGTTTTATTGTAATTTAATTTTGCTTTACTCATCTATGCACTTTCATGTCTCTATACTTGTACGTGTAAACATATATATATATATATGTCTTTGTGCAACACTTTGGTGCAAAACCTCCTCCTTTTAAAATGCTATATAGACTAAATGAAATAAATTTTAAATTTAATATAAGGGGGTGTTCTTCAACCTGAGTTTACATGTCACATAATTATTGATCACTGATATTTTTAATCATGATTACAATAGTAAAAGCCAGGCAGGGTTATTGGGAATATGTTTGTATATTTGTTTATTGGTTAAAATATATAGAACAGTAAATAATAGTCTGTAAAATATGTCATATCGGCTACTCATCTAATGTAGAGAAGGAGCAACAGCGCCCTCTACTGTATGACTGTAATAACTGATAGTGGTGCAACGTCATCATACAGCGACAATATTTTCTCCCTTTTCATAGGCTAATGTTGAAAACACAGCTCAATATGTGTTTTTTACGCTACGATATTATTTAGGAAATAGTGACAATTTATTTTACATTTAAGTTTTATGTTCGAGTTCAAGTTATCTTTATCTACACAATAAAAGACCCCGGAAGTCCTGTCACGGTTTGTAAACACATGGCTTGTAGTCGCGTCTGATGCTCAGTTATGCACAAACTGTTTGATATAAAGTTTCCAGGAGACTGTCAGACTCTTCCTGAGGGTTTCTGGTCGGCTGTGGACGTGTGGATAAAGAAACCTCACGTTGTCAACAAGCGTCTCTGCGGGGTGAAGGAGACTGAGAGTAAAGATGTGGACAGAGAGGCTGTGCAGCTCCTGCTGGGTGATGATGCTGAAGTCACCCAGGATGTGTTGTCCTTCATGACAAGCAGGGTGTCACCGGCACAGACACACCAACAGGATAACCTGTGGTCCTCTAGTGTCAGGACATTTATTCCTAAAGTAAACAGTTATGGGACAAACCTGCAGAAAGAGGTGATACTCAAAGGTAAGAGTGGAGCAGAATGAAAGGCTTCACTAAGCTCTGTTCTCCTATAATATGGGTTTTAAATGTCTTTGTGTGTTACAGACTTTGGCAGACAGCAGGTGACCTTTGTTCCATTTGAAGAGGAAACAGGAGGACAGGTGTCTCTAAAGAGGGGTAACATTTATCAGCTGCAGCTCCTCCATCAGGACTGTGAGGGATGGTGAGTGGCTGAATGAGCATCACCCAAATAAGACAGTACAGATTTGCATAATGACACGTTTTTTTTTTTTGTCCGAATACCTTATTTTTTGATGAAAATAGCTTTTTTCATGGGTTTTATTTGTTGATTTTTTCCACTTTATTTATTAGTTTCCAAACTGTCCTTAGATCCTCGTACCGCAAGCCTTATCAGTTCTGAATACCAAAAATTGCTGTAAGATTTGGATCAATTTCTCTTCCAAGTATTTTGGAAATGGCTTCAAAAATGGATTTTTTTTTTTTTTTTTAATGCACAAATTGAGAGAGGATGGCAGAAGAAATACCCGCACACAGCCACAAAAAAGGTTCACAGGCTGAGATCAGTGCCAAAAAATGTAAATTTATTCAGAACATATGTGCACAAAAAGTCAGCCATGTTGTTAATAAAACAGGTATTGCATACATACCCATGCAGAGTTGGCTGCCTGGCAACGGGCAAAGATGCAAAGCAAGTTAGCAGCATGTAGGCCAGATATAACAGCAACAGTGTTTCGGTGAGCAGTGACTGTGTTGATTAGAAATGTTCACATGTCTGATTGTCCAAAAACCAGGTCTGAGCCCGTGTTTGAAGGTGTCATACTGTGCTTTAGTGGCACGTTTCCTAACAAACTGTCATTAAAATTCTCTCAAGAAACTACAGTATATACAGAATTCAGCTGCTTGTATTCTCACACACTCTCGCACTCATGACCACATCACCCCCGTCCTCCATGACCTCCACTGGCTCCCCATCCCCCAGCGTATCCACTTCAAACTCCTCCTCATCCCATCACCTCCCCCCTACCTGTCTAAACTCCTCCACGGGCACACTCCCTCCCGCACTCTCAGGTCTGCTGATGACATCAGACGCTCCCCCTCACTCTCCACCTTCAAGAAATCCCTCAAAACACACCTCTTCAAAACTGCCTACAACCTCTTAATATCTGTGTTTTTCTTCTCCGCCTCTGCATTTCTTGTTTTCTGCAAAGCATCTTTGAGTAAATCCAGTGTGTTATTTTTTATTAAACCAGTTGACACACAGCAGCCCCGGAGTTTACAGACAATAAAAAAGCTAGTAATATTATACAAGTGTTATTGAACAACAGTACAAGTTATACAAAAGTACAAATCTAGATGACTCTGCCTCCATCTGCAGGGCCTTGGAGCTGCACGTGTTGGCTTCAGATGCGTGGTTCTCTGATGGCGTTGCGTACCCAAAGCTGCCCTGGCTGTCCAGTGACCTGCTACCTAAACTGGTGCGCTGGGCCACTGAGTGCAAGAGCAGTGAGTTCAGGAGCACCTTGTCCCTGCTGCCGGTGGAGAAGTACAGTGTCATGTACCAGCAGCTGAAGGAGAAGTACAAGGCCATGGTCAAGGTGAAGGCAGCTCAGCTGTTTTGTATGTAAACTGTAATGCTGTTAATAATTGTTGATCTTTATCACTGAGTATTTTTCCCCCAACGGTCTGTAGGTTTGGCCTGAGGTTACAGATCCTGAGAAGTTTGTCTACGAGGATGTTGCCATTGCTACGTATCTGCTTGTGAGTTCAAACGCGGTTGTTAATGTCGTTTTAATATCAGAATCATTGATTGATCATTAATCTGAGCTGAAAAATTCATGCGCCATATTCCTTTTTGCACTCACTTGAAATGTGTATCACAGCTTCTAAGTGTACGAACATGTCCATAGTGTGTAGGTGAAGCTAATTTCTATCTGTCACATGTTGTCCGGTCACACAGCCAAAGCTGAGTCAATCAATTCGAGTGTGAAAAATGGCTCTGTCCCAGCAAATCAATGCAACTGTCATGCCAGAGGCAGGTGAAAGGGTGTCAGCAGCAGCTGCAGGTGTCACACTGCAGGTGATTGAAAGCTGTGGTGAACACACAGTAGCTCTGAGTGTCTCTTACTGTGCTGCAGGTGCTGTGGGCTGAGGAGAGAGCAGAGAAAGGTCTGAGTGCCAGACAGTCCTTTGTGGACCTGGGCTGTGGAAACGGCCTCCTGGTTCACATACTGGCCAATGAAGGGGTGAGTTAGGTGTTGGCTGACTGTCATAAACTAAAAGTATGTTACTGCCTGGTTAAAATTTAACTGGAAGCCCAGAAAAGCCACAGAAAACAACCATGATGTGATATATCTGCCGTAGATAGGTGGTTTCTGACCTAATAACCTCATAACAGTGGCTGTATTGGCCTAGTTTTGTATGAACTAAATGCACTTCCACATCTGACCCTCAGCTAAAACTGAACTGAGGACAGTCAGAAGCTGTGCCTTACATTATTAATGACCAAACAATCTTTTAATAATGTGCTTTTTAAAAGGGAATTTAATAATAATAGTAAAACATTTAATTTTTTTGATTTCAAGACACTCAAGGTCACCTTACAGGCAAAGATACAGAAAATAACAGCAGATTAAAAAAGCCAATGAGATAAGGAATAAAGTCATATAAAAATAGATAATAAAAAAAATAATAATAACATTACAACAAATAAATATTCAGCAAAACAGAGGAGTGGAGAAGTGATGTGGAGGAAGGGCAGCCCTGTGACTTTGGGGATAATGTTCAGCTTGGTCTTGTTATTTATTTAGTTATTTTTAATCGCACATTATTTTATGTTGATGTATTTGCCCGTTATTTTACCACCGTATTTAATTCTGCCTCTGTGCCTCCTATAACATTTGATCCCTTTTTGATCTCAGGGTATTGTGCACGATTGTTAAATTCAGAAAAATGAGCCGTAAATGTAGATGTTGATTTTATGTGGAATCCGACTTCGCAATGAAAGATATTAAAATGAACAAATAATGGGGAAAAAAATTTTTTAAAAATAATTGCATGGTGAAATTATGAGAAATAATATGAAGTTTATTGTGAGAAAATTCCTCATTATTTTAATAATTATTTGAGTTATGTAGTCAGTATTTGAGATAAGCAAGTCAGTTTGAGAAACTCATGATTTTGAGATATCTAGATATTATTTTGAGACTCTAAGTCATTATTTTGTCAAAGTTTTTTATTATCTTTAGATACTAAGTCATAATTTGAAATCCAAAGTCATGATTTTGAACTACTAACTGATTATTTCAAGATGTGTAAGTCCTTATTTTGAGAAGCTTGTCGGAAATGAGCTTCCATAGCAGTGCAATCACTCAACTAAACCAAAAAAAAAAAGCATATAAATTACAATTTGATTACCAAATATTTGAACTGAACTGAACAATATTTAATGATCTATAATATACGATAAGAACAAGTAGCAGATCCTCCATTGTGAAGCTGGAATCAGCACATATAAAATGACTGAAACAGCTAATCGACCGTTCAGATAGTTGCTGATTTACTTTCTTTTGATCAACTAATCAATCAGTGGCATTATTGTTGCTGCTTGTTTGCCATCTGGATAAACAGGAAGACGATCCAGGCACTCCAAAATCTAAGACAAAATAAATCAACATGAAAAGAAACATTAAAAAGCCTTTATGTAGTGGCTAAATCATAAAGTTGGCATGTTGGCTTTTTATGATTTAGCCACAGCAATAAAGGCTTTTTAATGTTTCCTTCCTTGCTGATATATTTGTTCTTATATTTCAGAGTGCCTTCCTGTTTATGCTGTTGTTGGAGCATCCGACACATTTTTGATCTGTGTTAACAGAGCGACCAGTCATCTCGCGTCCTCGTGGTGGACCATCTGTCTGACTGACTCACACTGCCATCCCAGAGCCACACTACAAGCCTAATTGGCAAAAAGAAGCACTCTAATAAGATGCATTCACCAGAAAGTTTTTTTAATCAAAAGGAATAACAGATTTTTAACCTCTATTAAGTCCGTCTTGTAAAAACACGCCTCCTCAAAGAAGAGGTGTTTCAATTAGCTGAATCCTCACCGGCAGCTTAATCACTGACACAGGCCATGTCCCTGAATAGAAAACATCCACAGCACAGTGTCGCCATAACGTCCAATCACAAACTGGGACAGGTGTTGAAATTAGACATCGTGGTTGTTGATAGTCAGAGATTAGCAGCTGACCGTCAAGCCGTCTTGTGTTGCAGCATCCTGGAAAGGGCATCGATGTTCGGAAGAGGAAGATCTGGGACATGTACGGCCCCCAGACTGTGCTAGAGGTGAGCGAGCCAAGCATGGAGAAGGCGGATTTATGGTCGCCATATTCAGGTTTTTAATTAGTGTTATTATCTTTTGACATATCACACACTGTAGGTGTATTTTCAGCTGGCGGCGCCCCCTCACTGCTGCTGCTGCTGCTTTGTGCTTTGGCTCCAACTGTTGATTCCTCTGTTAGTTTGAGTTAGTTTTGAGACACATTTCAGAACATCAGAAAGTCTCCTGAACTAAAGCACAAAACATAAATCTAACATCAAAGTCCATTTAGTGTCTGTTCTGGAGCTTTTGATTAAACCACATGATCCTCATCACCACATGATGTTTGCCTGTTTGTCACACGTCCAGGTTGAATTTTTAACTTCATAGTAATGGAGCAAACATCATGTGCTGATGAAGATCATGTGACACAACAGAAAGCTCCAGAACAGCTACAAGTGGACCTGGAAGTGAAATTCGTTGCACTACATGCCCAATATGTTTACTATCGCTCAACATACTTTTGTGTGAATAAACAGCATATCTTTTCAGACCCACTGAGCTGTTATTACCGTATCACTTCCTGAGAGTCTCCAAGGAAACTATAATGGAATAAAAGGACGTGACATTAGTGACAGCGTTTGAATTTAGCATTTAACTTTGTAGCCACTTCTATTGACGTTAGTGGGGTAGGCAAGTCTCACTATAACACATCATATCTGTGCTGTTTGACCTTTGACTGGAAAATGCTTCCACCAGATTTAAAGACACACGTTACGTGATTTTGACGTTTTTTTTTTACCTAAATATGCACGTGTGTTTTCCTTGTTATTGGTCTCCGAACAGATCATAGCTCTGACAGTCATTATGAGAGAAGACTGGGATCGGAACCACACTCTGGCTCCAGTGCAAAATTCGAGCAGTGTCAGAGATGTCATGTCCTTTCCTTTTTTTGTCATAGTTTCCTTGAGTCTTGCAGTTGGAGACATTTAACCATGGCAACCCATGCCAACCTCAGCTCTATAGGCAATGTAATGTAAAAATAAATTTAAAGATATATCATTCTTTGCAAAGAGAAATCGTATATATTTACACTAATACTGAAGCTATATTGACGCCACCGAGCTGTCTTGGTCGCTGTTTGTTGTGAACCTTGTCGTCTACTGCATTGCATTATGGGATATTTATGTTGGTGTAGTGTCAAGTGCTTGCATACTATGATATGTAAGTGGAAATAGTTTGTATTTTATGTGCTATTGGTTTCATACTAAGGTTTTGGACATGCTAAAAAAAATTCACATACTGTTTTTACATACTATATAGTATGTTAGTACAGAATTTCAGCCATTGTTTTTTCTAGGCCAGTATTTCAATTTTTGAAACTTGTTCTTTTTAAATTTTCGAACACTTGGGATTACATTTGAGTTGCAGAAAGAAAGATATACATTTTAAAATAGATAAATTTATGTAAAAAAAAAATACATGTTTACTTTCCTCAGTTGTTGTCTTTTAATAACACTCAAAATACTTTGAAAATGTAAAATTTTTTGTACCAAACTTTGGCCAGTGAAATTGAAATTATTTGTGCTGGTCTGTTTATTGATTAGTTAATCGAAAGCAAAACGATCCACAACAATTTTGATGATCTATGAACAGCTTTGTATGAAGATAAATACCTCTCAAATGTGAAGACTTCCTGATTTTGGTGGTCTTATATGATACTTAATATCTTTGGGTTCAGAGCTGTTGTTCAGTCAAAACAACCATTTCCAAAACATCACTTGGGCACTGGGAGCATTTTTTTCCTATTTTTTGACACTTATAGACCAAACAATTAATTGATTAATGGACCATGTATTTGTCAGAATAATCAATGATGAAAATAAATCGTCAGATGCTGTCCTGGAATGAACCTGTAAATTATTTGTGAAAGTCCATTTAAAAAAATGCATAATACAAAAATCAGAACGAAAATGTGTCTTTTTTTATTATTTAATGGTAATAAAACAGGAAGGAACAGGAACAGGCAGTGTTACACTTAGGATTGCTGCGAGCTACAAAAAGAAAACACTCCCTGTGCACAGGGGGAACAACAACTCCTTGTAAACATACACACATTTGCAGGGAAACCTGCCCCAGAAACACAGCGCTCTCCTGTACTCCTCCTGGACTCAGTCAGTCATTTGACAACAAGCTGCTGACTGCTTCCATTTCAGGTCATCTATTATTGACTGATTTTTTGGGAGCGGATGTGGCAGACTGATCCTTCAGGGCCCCCAGGGGTGCTGTACTCAGTCCCAAATCTTCATTTGGAGGCTCGCTCTAAACCTGACAGGCCTCAGTGCTCTTAACCTACATCATTTGTGATGTTGGCGATGGACCTGAGCCGAATATGAAATGTTTTATAGAAATTCTGGATTATGTTTGATCATCTAAGTGTCAGTGTTTTTTCAAGAAAGTGGTTAAATCCACACAACCAACCAGGCCACAGGCTAAATGAGTTCTCATAAATTTCACATTGACAGGTGTTATTTGATATATTAAAAGTTTGAGAGGGGAATAGGTTTTCCCTTTTCTAGTTAATTTCCATAAAGTGAATTAGAATCAAATCCCACTGGCATGCATCTTCCCCGCTCTAAGGAGCTCTTGTGCTTTTCGGGTCTTTGCTATTTCAGGAAAAGGCAATTACTCCCAGCGAGAGCTTCTTATTCCCGGGTACGGACTGGCTGATTGGGAACCACTCGGACGAGCTCACACCGTGGATCCCCGTTATAGCTGCCAGGCGAGTCATCAGCAGACACAATCTCACTCAGCAGCTCAAGTGCCAGCTGATCTCTCCAATTTGGAATAGCATTATGTGCAGAAGGAGGATGTGTGAATATGTGTGTGTGTGTGTGTGTGTTAGTTCCTGTGTGTCAGTTTGTGTTTCCCAAGGCGACCACCTGATGGTGATGTTGAGCCTCAGTCTGAGATATCTGCTTTTCTCTAATGTGTCTACAGATGATAATCTCTTTAATGGATTATTTCCTGTTTGTCGTACAGATTCAGAATCTTAAAAACAAGTCAAAAGATTTATAACCTTAATTTTCTTTGGCACTGGTCAAGAATCTGTGTTTTCATCTCACTGATTGCAGGTCATCGTACTCCTGCCGGTATTTCGTCCTCCCCTGCTGTTTCTTTGACTTCTATGCAAAGTATCAGAGACGCCAGTGTAAGAAGTCTCAGTATAAAGAATACATCGACTTCATCACGGAGGTCAGCCAAGTTAGCGGCTTCAACACTGAGGAGGACTGCCTGAGGATACCGTCCACCAAACGGGTAGGTCCCAGTCAGAGCTGCAGCCAAAAGCTGATGTTGTTGACTTCCTGTGTTTTACACAATCCTTAAACAGCTGTCATATTATGTAATTGACATCTTTTTAATTTTTTTTTTTTAAAGCTATACTCCACAACAAGTTACAAAGTCCAATTAAAGGTGCAGTTAGCAGTTCTGAACAAATACACTTTTTGTCAAACTCAGCAAATATCTCCTCACAGTCTGCCAGCTTTGTGTTCTGTTCAATATGATATTCATACGCAGCTCTGGCTCTAATATGGGAAGCAACAAAATGGCTCAGACAGAGCCTCACAACACTATTCCAGCCAATCAGCAACAGTGCTCCACCTTGTCCCACTGTGCTGTGACTGACTAGTACCAGCCCTAACCATGACGTCTTTGCTCTAACCCTAATTGCTTCTGACTTCAACCCTACAACTGGAGGACACACCAGGCCAATGGTCGGCTGTCAGTCAGTGTTGGGCCATTGGTGAGTGTCTCTGGCACTGTTTTTTGTGGTGTGTCCTGCACTGTTGGCACTAGTCGGCCCTTGTCGGCCCTTGTCACCCCTCGTTGGCTGTTTTTCGGCCCATTCAGTATGTTGAATCCCCATTGGTCAAGAGGGCGTAGATAAGATTATAGTTTTGGCCGTTGAACTCTTTAGAAGAAACGGTTCCTTATGGTTTGCGGTGTAGTTTGCTAGCACACGCGAAATACCTTTTTTCTTTCTTGAAGCCGTCCTGACGGTCTTTCGCTTTCCTTTCATGAATTACAAATACAGACTACCACCGCCTGCTGCTATGGACAGTTGTTTCCTCTTATGCAGGTGCAGAATGGACTTGCTAGTTGGCTGTTGGCTGTAGTCTTTGTGGTGTGTTTAAGTGCAATTGTCGCCACTAGTTCTTTGACGTTGGCTTGTTGTGTCTGAGCCTTATCGTAAGGGGAGTCTGCCTAAAAGACAAAATAAATGTGATGGTTAGACCTTTCTGAAAAGAAAAGTACAAACACCACATAATGAAGGTTTCAGTTACTGTAGCATTCATTGTATCTGTAATATTTTAGGACAGCAGTAACAGAAATGATGTATCTAATTTGTTGATGTATACATGTTCATAGTCTCGTAACATTTCACAGCGTTGACAGTGTCTAAAAACACTACATAGTGAATCAGCTCATGCACATGTACCTCACACCTGTGAAGTCTCAGGTGTTATTCTGACTTTTGTTGCATGCCATCTCTTTTTTGTCTGATCTTTCCCATCTTTCTGTGACTTTCCAATAAAGCAGAGAACATGAACATATTTTCTTCCCAAAAACAGATCATTAGAATTCTCTCAAAAATGATCATAAACTGTATTCCTGCTCCTCAAACATGCACAGCTGTGCGTCCCGCCTTTTGTCCACCTGAGGCTCATTTAGTATAGACAGACAGAAATAAATCAAGTCCTTATTGTCCCCAATGGGATGTTTCTTTCACAGCTGGCAGACATTAATTGCTTCAGTACACATGGACACATAATAAGAACAAGCAAGTATTTATTGGACTTTAAATGTACAGCGATCAGTCATAATCACTTTGTACATAGAAGCAACAGCCGCCCAAACATCACTATGTATATCCAAAATAATTAGTGTTGGCATAGCGCTGTTTGTTTTGTCCACAGTAACACACATATTGAGGATTTCTATTCCTCCTTCTGAGTTTCTGTTATACACTTTTGAGCTGCAGCACCCATGGGAGTCGTCCTGACATTCACCTCCTTTTTTTCATGCAGGTGTGTCTGGTGGGAAAATCAAGAAACTACCAGCTATCTGACGAGGCTGAGGCAGAGCAGCGAAGAGCTCATTACATCCAGAGCCATCAGACTGCCCCTGGGGCCGCAGTTCAAAGGTCGGAGATCAGAAATGATGGTGATTGTTGCCATGGGAACAAAGACACTGACAGGACGCCCGATGGCAGCTGGGGAGCAGGGTTCCAACCCAGAGACAGGGTTGAAACGGTTCGAAACTGCGCTGCTCTCCCCCGGGACTTTGTTGACGGCGTTGTCCTGCGGGTCGCCAATGTTCTTCTAGGATTGACTGGTGATGACGGGACCTCCAGTGACTGGAATCAAGGAGGTAAACCGCAACAAAACATCCGAGATAAACAAACAAATCACACAAGTCTCCCTGGACGTGAGCTGCTACTGTAGAGATGAAGAGGTTCAGATTAAATCTAAAGTAGGACGCATTATCTGTGAAGCCAAGTGTTGTTGTTGTGCACTTTGGGGATTTCTGAATTCATTACTTTGTAATATCTGTTACAGGGCAGATATATGTATACAGTATATACTGTATATGTTCTCCAGATGAACCGAGAAGTATCTGTAGAAGCAGTGAAGTTTGAAGGGTCAAAGATTTCAGGCTCGCTGGCAAACAAAATGAATACAAAGATTGTCATGTTTCATTTATAACTTTTTAGGCCTATTATTTTCACTTTAAGAACCAACATAATACTTATATTAAATAATTAAATGCATCTCTGTTTTGCTAGGTGTCTGTTTTACAATTCACAATTTATCCCGTTAGGTGTGATGAAGTTGAAGTGGTGAAAGCTGACATGGTAGCTGCTGATATCTGCTAAGCTAGCTACGTTAGCTTTAGCTTGTTTGATTTTGCTTCTTTATTAGCGAAGTTAGCCTTTGTCTCATTTAGTTATGTGGAATTACTATTATTACGCAATTACCAAGATTTCAGTTTATCAAAATTGATACATTTTATAAGTAGGTAGGCAAATATCAGTAAGTTTAGTTGTAGCTTTAGCTTTAGCTTTCGCTAAGGCTAACTGTGGCTTTCTCATCATTAGCTCAGTTTTGTAGCCACTACAAATTTAAAAAGCTGTATGTTTTTATACATTTTGTGGCATAATATTTTTTATGTTGCAGCACATATGTCAAAAGCATAGATAGATAGATAGATAGATAGATAGATAGACAGATAACTAGCTTTACTGTCCACCTAAGTGGAAATTTGTATTTGGCTTCTGTCAAAAACATGAAAGATACATACAGACACATAACACAATACACCATTAAAAACGTACAATTTTACAATATATATGATACAATAGTGCAAATAGGCAATAATAATAATAATCTCCCAATAAGGGAGAGAGAGAGCACATCGTATAAAATAGTAGTGTTCCTCGATACAGTCTTTCTGTGTTAACTGCCTGTATGGCATAGGGAATAAAGGACCTCTTATATATATATATATATCT